TAGAAAATAAAAGAGAATACTTCCCAACTAATTTTGTGAGGCCAGCATTATTCTGATATCAAAATTAGACAATGACAGCACAAAACTGAATACTACAGGACAATATATCTCATGAACTTAGATGCAAACATCCTCAACAAAACATTAACAAGTTACAACCAGTAATGAACAAAAAGAATCATGCACCACCACTATATCTTGCAATGCCCTTTGAGGATCTAGAATTGTTTCAAAATAAATAAAAAGATTTAAAAAATATACTGAAGAAGGTGTATTCTCAAAACAGAACATTTCAGAATAGGCATGAGTGGAAAGTCGGTCATGAGGCCCCTGCACAATTCATGTGAGACAATAGGAATTTCTTACTTACCTAAAGTTAAGGCTGGAGTAGTAAAGCTATAGAAGGGATTGATATTAAGGAGATAAAATTGACATTAGGTGTGAAGGTGAGAAAAAGGGACTCAATTATCAGTTATTCAGTACAACTGTTGATTTGTACATATTGAAATTTAGGTGATAAGACATATACGAGGATGTACGCTAAGTAGTTGAATAGAGAGCTAGCATGGAGATGAAGATTCAAGAGTTGTATGTACAGAGCAGGCCACTGTATTCAGGAGAGGGAAAGAGCATACAGGGAGGACAAGGATAGACAAAGTATATCTGTATCCGTGGAAAGTATATCTTAGATATCTGTGGTTTTTAATGTCTAAAATTACGATTTTTTTTTATTTCTTCATCTAATTGTGGTCACAGATGATAGTTTGCTTCTTTGTGATTTGTTGATTCTGTTTATGGGGCTTAAAACATTGTCATTTCTTTGAAAATGTTCCGTATATACTTGCAAAGAATACATGAGCTCTGATTTTTCTCTTTCACACACTTGGATACTGATACCCTACATATACCAAAACCCCAGCCCTCAAACCCAATGTCATCAGAATTTAATGGGGAATAAAGAAGATGTCATATTAGTAGCTTTGACTCCTTACCAAATGAGCTTCTTATAAACAGTTTGTCCAGGAAAAAATCTCCTCATTCAAAGATAATAATAAACATCTCCTGATGTACAAAGATACTATAGCAAAAAGAATGAGAGAAAAAAAAGAAATTAAAAGGAACATGCTAGAAATAAATTACCACAATATAGAAGAAAACACATTCACCATGATTTCAAGGAATTCACTAAAACAATTAACTACCTAAAATAAATAGGAATCTAAGAGTCCAAGGAAGAAATAATGGGCAAATAGGCTAAAGAAAATGGTTATGTAAATTTTAAAAAAATAAATTGGCAGAAGTGAAGTGAAAGTGAAGTGAAAATGAACAAGCAATACAGAAATGGGAGGTCTCTCTGAAAGCAATAAAACACCATGTGAAAACACAAAAAGTGGCAAGGAGCAGATTAAGACAAGTGAGCAACATGAAATGGAAATAAGGACTTTTAAAGGAAAATAGAATAAAAAATAGAGTTCAATAAAAACATCTAACAAACAGGGCGCCTGGGTGGCTCAGATGGTTAAGCGTCTGCCTTCGGCTCAGGTCATGATCCCAGGGTCCTGGATCGAGTCCCACATCGGGCTCCCGGCTCAGCGGGGAGCCTGCTTCTCCCTCTGACCCTCTCCCCTCTCATGCTGTTTCTCTCTCGCTCACTCTCTAAAAAATAAATAAAAATCTTTAAAAAAAAAAAAAAAATCTAACAAACAAAGAATCCTTGAAGTGGAAGCATAGAACTTCTATCATTAGTCACAGTATAAATTTAATAGATATTGTCTAAAACAAGAGATTAAAAGATTTAGTTAAAAAAAAAGAGAGAGAGGCAAACGATAAGAGACTCTTAACTATAGAGAACAAACTGAGGGTTGCTGGAGGGGAGGTTGGCAGGGGATGGGCTAGATGGGGGATTAAGGAGGCACTTGTGATGAACACTGGGTGTTATATGTAAGTGATAAATCACTAAATTCTGCTCCTGAAACTAATACTACACTATATGTTAACTAGCTAGAATTTAGATAAAAACTTGAAATATTAAAAAAAACAAAAGATTGAGTTCAAGATGTTAATGTGACAAAGATCATATTAAAAGAACCAACCATACAGAAAAGAATCCAAACCTTCCAAATTACCAGAACGGACACAGAACCAAAGTAAGAATACAGAGTATAAGGTGAAAGCTATATAAAAGAAGTATCTTTATCAGAAATGTATGTAAAATACATCTTTCCAAACTGCTGTACAGAAAAAGTGCACAAGGACTCCGAAGGATGACAGTAAAAGGATGAGCAAAAGACATATCTGGAAATGCCAATAGAAAAGAAACAAGAAACTCCATCTTAATATTAGATAGAGCTGAATTCTAGGGAAAAATTATTAAATATAACAAGGACACAATCCAAAATTAATTTCAGATGTCATTACTATCACCACACCAAATTTCATAGCATCGAAGTTTATGAACAGAAACTACAGATAAAGACAAATATATTTGTGGTGGGAACAGTATCTCTCAGCTCCAACAGATAAAGTAAAAACAAAAACACACTGTACAAACGTCATAACTATGTAAGATAGCTTATTGATAAGACAGCAAATTCTGTATCCTAAAAAATTCATATGCCTATATAACATTCAGAAATATTAAACATAAAATTTGCACACACACACACTTTACACAAAACTTAACATTTCACGAAGCAGAATAAAATCAGTGCAAATAAATCTCTCCAAAGCTGCATCCTAATTTTATTAAAAGTAGAATTAGCTTAAATAAAAATCTTAATACCTAAAAGTGAAAATGTGGTAAATAGTAATTTAAGATTTGGTGAGAAATCTATTTATTTATTTATTTTTAAAAGATTTTATTTATTTATTTGAGAGAGAGAATGAGAGAGAGAGAGAGCATGAGATGGGGGAGGGTCAGAGGGAGAAGCAGACTCCCCGCTGAGCAGGGAGCCCGATGCGGGACTTGATCCCGGGACTCCAGGATCATGACCTGAGCCGAAGGCAGTCGCTTAACCAACTGAGCCACCCAGGCGCCCCGAACTGGTGAGAAATTTAATATGTTCCTAGAAATTCATCCACTCCATCTAGATTTTATATTTATTTGCATAAGACAAATTATTTTTCTAAATTATTTCTGAACACTGTTTTGCTGTATATCTTATCTTTTGATATATAGCATTTTTATTATTTTTGAGATATTTTATTATTTTAACTTTGGAGTGGACTGCTAAATGAGGAAATAATGTCTCTTTCACATGTGTCCATATGATAAACCCTATTTGGCTATTGTTTTCATGTACTCTTGAATTCAGTTAGTTAATACATTTATGACTTCTGCATCTATGTTCATAATTTCGAGTTCTTTTACTGTTCTTGATAGGTTTGGGCATCAAGATTCATATAGTAAACAAAATAAAACAAACACCACAAACAAGGTTGGGAATAACTTTAGATCATCATCTTTACCCGAAACTTTGGCATAAAGATCAACTATTAATCCACATGATGTTTTCCATCATATTTGACTGTATAGGAAATGTTTGATAAACATTTTAATTTCCTCAAGGGCTTCTGAACCATCTGTATTTACCAATTTTGGCATTTATTTTTTGTAAAACTGTATCCCTTTTGTTTAGGTTTTCATATTTTTCTATGATTTTGTATAATATTCATTCAAGATTGTTTTAATCTTTGATAAAGCAGTAACCATCTCTCCTGTTTTGTTACATACTTCCAGTGTATCTTTACTCCCTGTTCTTGATCACCACCACATTCAGAAGCCACTTATGCTTCTGTCAGACATCTTCATCAATTATGTTTGACTCTACGTGACTAATTTCTTCCCTTATTTGTTATTTTCTAGGCCTTATTGTTATTTTATATTTATTGAATTCTTTTTTTTTTCTAAAGATTTATTTGAGAGAGAGAGAGAGAGCACAAGAGGGGGGAGCGGGAGAGGGAGAAGCAGACTCCCTGCCGAGCAGGTAGCCCGATGTGGGACTCGATCCTGGGACTCCAGGATCATGACCTGAGCCGAAGGCAGTCGCTTAACCAACTGAGCCACCCAGGCGCCCTATTTATTGAATTCTTTTTCTAACTTCTTCAGTTCTAAGTGTTACTCATACCTTAGGTCTTTTCTCCCCCAAACTTCTAGGATTCCTTAAAAAGGCATTTAAATTTTTATTTTTTCCCTCTATCTATAGTTTAGCTTTGCACACAAACTTTAAAATGTAGTTCTTTATTTAATGGAAATTAAACTCAAGGAATTTTCTAAGATCCTTTATGGTTTTCCCTTTAAAGCATATTTATGTAGGAAAAAATTTAAAGTTTTCAGATATGAGGGTTTCTTTTGCTAGCCTTTTACTTTTTTTAAACTGTTTTTTAAAAATTGTAGTAAAATGTACATAAAATTTACCATTTTAAAATGTATAGTTCAGATATTAAGTCTATTCCCAAAGTTGTGCAAAAGTCTTTTACTTCATATTTCTAATTTAATGCTCTTGGTTAGAGAGTAAAATCAACATTATAGCAAAGTTCCATATTTTTTGTCTGCCTGAATTAATGTTTTTGGAAGTAGTTCATAAAATAGATCAATGGAGAACCAACATCTAAAAAACAAATTTTAAAAAAAGAAGAGAAATATTTATGTGGGGAGAAACAGTTTAAGAAGAAATAGAGAAATACTTTGAGAATTATGCACAAAAACGATTTCTAATCAGGAATCTTATCCTCGGCCAAAGATCAGCATAGCATGAGGACAAAATAAAAGGCAGTTTTGGACATTCTACTTCTCCACTGTCATACAGTTGGCCTCTAGATGTGGAGACACCCATGTGTTGCTCATTCTTGGCAGAAAAGATCAAGATTTGCTTCAGGGAAGTAAAGGAGTCTGGTTGCTTCCTGTGACCCACCTGCCGCTGCCCAGAGGCTCTGGTGACATATCAGAGGTATCTACTTGCAGGATAAATTCCCTACCCCCTGGGATTCTTCCTTCTCACCTCGTATGAATTATCACATTCCTCTGGAACCTGGACCAGGGATTTCTGGGGAGAGGTCCGATTAGCTGACATGATCAGGGTAGGTCTCAAACTTTATTCTCTCAGGAGCCTAAAGCTTTGTAGACATCTGTAAACTCAAGCAGAGCTGCTGGAGAAAGGCAGGCTGAAGTCTGGAAGATCTAACCCAGGAGCTCCCCAGAGACACCAAAAAACCTAGAACGACAATGTCCACACAGTCAGATACTAGATATTCATCACACAAACCTTTCCTGTGAACACCAAGGTGAAGTTCCCTGAGCTAGACACACAGAGCAGAGGCTCTCAAACTTGAGTGTGGATTCAAAACACTTGGGACTTCTTAGAATACAGTTAAAATTCCTCAACCTCACTGCAAGTTTCTGATTTAATAGGCCTTGGGTAGCAATTGTCTTAGTCTAGTCAGGCTGCTATAATAAAGTACCACAGACTGGGTAGCTTATAAACAACAGAAATTTATTGCTCACAGTTCTGGAGGCTGGAAAGTCCAAGATCAAGGAGACAGTATGGTTGCATTTTAGTCAGGGGCCTCTTCCTGGTTCATAGCCAGCAGCTTCTCATTGTGTCTTCACATGATAAAATGGGCTCAGGAGCTATGTGGGATGTTTTATAATAGCACTAATCACTTATGAGTGCCCCACCTCCATGACCTAATCAGTTCCCAAAGGCCTCACCAATTGATATGGTATTTCTGGAGATTAGGATTTCAACATAAAAATTCTGGGGGAACACAAACATTCAGACCATAGCAGGGTCCAAGAATTTGCATTTCTAAGTAGTGCCCAGGTGCTGTTGATGCTGCTAGTCCAGGGACCACACTTTGAGAACCAGTGCTGTGGAGAATATAAAGTTTAATGAAAGCTGTGATGGATTATTAGTCATGAGATATGGAGTAATATTACTTAAAATTTGAACTGTAGCTCTTATATCTTTCAACTATGAGAATATGAAGAAGTTCCTTCCATTTTAGTTTCAAAAATAAGGATGAAAGTATCTATTTCATAGAGTTATAAAAATTAAATGAGATGATGCTCATAAAGTATTAAACATCTCCCTGGCACACAAGAAGCACATAATAAATATCAGCAATTACCATTCTCTATTAGATATTAAAACTTAATATAAAAACAATGTAATCAAACAGAAAGCAACAGCTCAGACAATACTGACTTATACATGTAACAAAAATGGCATTCAATGAGTACGCACAGGACATTTATTGTGTAAGTGGCACTGACATAATTGACCATCCACCTGGAAAAAAAACAAACTAGATCCCCATCGCACATTATACATTAGACTGAATTCCAGCAGGACTAAACATTTAAGTATATGTATTTTATAAACTCCAAAAGATATTTAAATAAATTTTACTAGTATATGTTTGCAGGAACATTGTAGTGGGGTGGGAGAGATCCTTATTATGTATATGAGAAAACCCAGATGATATAAAAGAAAAAAACGGATATTTCTGGTTAGAGGATATTTCTTAATTATATATTAAAATACACTTTAAAAATAAAAATGAAGATATATATAAAATTTCAGTATGTAACAAGTTATCTCTAAATTAAAAAAAAAAAATCTAGCAATCAATATGGAAAAAAAAGCACAGAAAAAAACCCTGAACAGAGGATATGAAAATTCACAGAAAAGGAAATTTAAATAGTAATTAACCAAAAAGATGCCAATTTTACTACCAGGAAAGCACATTACAGCAATTACATATAATTTCTCCTAAGAATAGTAAAAACTTATTAATTTAATTTTATTTTTTAAGTAGGCTCCAAGGCCAGCGTGGAGCCCAACGCGGGGTTTGAGCTCACCACCCTGAGATCAAGAGTCGGTCGCCCAACTGAGTCACCAAGGTGCCCAGTAAAAACTTACTTTAAAAAATCCAGTGCTGGAAAGCATTTGGGAAAATGACCCGTTTTATAAATTACTGGTGGGAGCCTGAATTGTTATGGTATCTTTTGAGTTATTTAGTCATATCTATTATTAAAAATAAGCAACTGTTCCTAATAATAGTTTCAAATATACAGAGCGGATACTGACAGAAGGAAGGACAAGTGGACAAATCACTCCAGTGAGTTTACCTTTCTCTGTAATTAATTAAGCAGACAAGATAAACAGAATATATATGAAACAATACAATGAGAACACACTGTTTTGGTGTAATAGATGTGACATTTATGAAAACCGACCAAGAACTAACGGTAAAGCAAATTTTTAAACTCGAGCATTACCCAGAGGCATTACATGAAATAGACAACGCACTTCTAAATAACGCCCGGATGAAAGAAAAAAACTAAAAATTTTAAAAAGCCAGTACTTAGATTTGAACAATAAAATGCTACACATCAAAACTTATTAATGTTTAGAAAGCAAACTCATCATAGACCCCACCGGCCCCCATAACTGACTCCACAGCTCAGGGACCACTGACTCCCATCACTGAGCCCACAAATCCCATACTCATCTCAAAGATCCCCATCACTGACCCAAGTGTCTCCCATCACTCCTCTCACAGCAACGGACGCCACAGATTCTTCACCACTGAGCCCAGAAACCACCATCACTCACTCTGCGACCAACACCCCCATCATCGACCCCAAAGAATCCCTAATCACGACCAACCAAAATCACCTCAGAGACCCCTCGGAATTAAAATGCGGAGAAACTCCTGACATTAGCGGCGAAAAAAAACCTTTCGAGGACCACTTCCGCTTCCGGTCTGGTCTCTAGCACCTCCTCTAATGAACTGTTGCTAGTGCGCATGCTCTGAGTTACCTTGGAAGCCGCATATGCCAACAGTTAACATGGTGCGGTTCTCGTAAGAGACGCTGTCGGACCGAGAACATGGCCTCGCCCAATGGTGCTTCTGCACGCGAGCCGCCATCTTTGAGGCGTGTCCATTCTGCACAGCGGAGGGAGAGGCTTCCCGCCGGTTTTCACAGAGCGAGGCCGGTATTGCCACATAGAATGCAGGGGTGAGGCCCTGGTCGAGGTAGGCTTCTGTGAGGGAGAAGGTATTGGCGATGGGGCCTGGTACTCTGTGTCATATTTAGAAAAGCTAGTTTGCCTCTAGGGATACGGCGCTTGGCTGAGAGCCATTATCTGCTGGGAGAAACCACCAGGAATGAGGGGAGCTAGGGAGGAAAAATCACCAAGGGAGAAGGACAGACGTTTTATATGTTACGGCTGAATCCTGGGAGGAGTCATCAAGGGATGAGGGGAGAAGTTAGGACAGTACAGCCTACTTTTTGGAGAAACCGCTTAGGGAGAATGTGGAGAGGTCAGAATGGGAGCCCCATCCTGGATGAAACCACCCGGCAAGATAGATGTCAGAATGGGCTGCAGGCAGGGTCGTTTAGCCTTTTATGGGAGGAACCACCTGGGGAAATAGGGTACAGGTCGTGGTGGTCCAGACCTCTCCTGAAGGATACTACCATGGCAAGATGGCACCTTCTGAAGGGCTGGTGGAGGGAAATGGGAGCCTTGAATGCCCATCAGTCTCCATTAGTAGGCAACAATGGTTTTTAATATGGCCAAAGTGTGACAAAAAGCACTTAAGGAAAACTGCTATTTCTGTTTTAATTTACAAATTTATTTTGTAAATTAAAATCTAAGTAATAACAACGTCCTTGGGATGTAAATGAAGCCTGAAATCTGGGGGTGGGGCGTGTGAAGACACAGTTCCTTTCCTCTGGTGAACTCCTAAACATTCTTCAAAACCCCGCTAAATATTGCCTCTGCCAGGAAGTTCTTCTACCTGACGGTGGTAGGAGGTTCTATGACTTACTGAAAGTCTGTGTCAATCCCAGTAGTGGGGAAAGTGTTTTGAGGGAACTAGACCTAGGCTCTGGTGTGGGCCTGCTAGGTACCTTCAGGCTAGTTATGTCTCTCTCTGGGATTCAGTTTAAAAATAGGGCCAGTTAGAGGGTTGGACTATGCTTACACCAGGTTCTCCATCTCCCAAAGCCTGGTTGAAGGAAAAAAATCTGTGGAAATCTATTAGTGAATACACATTTTTATCAGAGGTCTAAGAATAACTGTTAATTTTGTTGGTAGTGTGATTATGTTAGAAAGAAGACTTATCTTTTAGAGATTTTATAGAAATACTAACGAGCAAAATGTTAGCTTAAAAAACATCACTGAGGAGGGGTAGATGGATAAAACAAAAATAACAGAATGTTGGTAAATGTTGAAAGCAGGTGATAGATACATAAAGGTCATTAAAATGTTTTTTTCAGTATTTGTGTGAAAATTTCACAGTAAAAATTTAACAAGAAAAGGAGTATAAAAATCATTTACAATGGAATATTATCAAGAAGAAAGCAGGTGTGTTGATAGTATTACATTATACAGATTTCAAAGCAAACAATATTAACAGAGATGTTCCAAATTTTAATAAGATGCAGCTACCAAGAGCATACAACACTAATAACATTTATCTAACAATATAGCTCTGAAATATAGCAAAAACTGGTAAAATAGGGAAATTTTGAGGAACTCACAATCACAGTAACAAACTAACATATCTTTCAGAAACAGATCAAATAGAAGAAAGGTAGGTATAAAGATATATTGGGATAACATAAGTAATTTGCTTGATATATATCTACATTTTGTTTTATTTTCAACCAGAAAAAGAACATTTTTTCAAATATACATGGAACACTCATAAAAATTCTCTAAAAAGTAGGACATAAAAGACAGTATGAAGCCCCCAAACTGATATCACATATGCCATACTCTCAGACTACATAATAATGAAAATAGAAACCAACAGACAATAAAATATATAAAATGTTCGAAATGCGTGTACATTAAAATACATACATCTGAATAATCCTGGGGTTAAGGACAACATAACACTGGCTATTGCAAACTATTTAGAATGAAGAGGAAAATGATAGATAGTACTTGCATATGAAAAATCTAAGGGATGGGCCAAAGTGATACCCAGAAGAAAATCTCACCTAAAATTAGGGAACTAGAAAGAGTGAAAACAAATTAATTAAGCTTTAATTCAATCACATTCTACTAAAGTCCTACTAAATACTCCCAAAGAAATTGGAAAGGAGGAATTAATGTGATAAACAGATGTTAATAAAATAAGTAGGGAAAAAAATCCTAGTAGATATGATTAATAAAACCGTGAGCTGGTTATCTGTAAAAGGGTGCTGTCAGTTTTTAAGAAAGATCAAAAAAATAGAGAAGATATATGCAAGCAACGTTAGAAAGAAAATGGGACATTCCTATAGAAAGAAAATTTGAAACTCAAGAGAATTCTATGGTTATTTTGAGTAATATGTTTGAAAGCCTTTCTAAGAAAACCTAGAGAAAGAAATAGCCACATGAAGGAAAACTGAATAGGCCAAAAGCCATAAAGGAAATGGAATTGGCACCATATGCAAAAACCAACCCAAAAGGATTAATGATTCAAATGCCAAAACATCTTTAATAAAACTGTTAGTAAAAAAAAAAAATCAAATATTTTTTAGACTTCATGGTTAAAGATTTCTTTTTTTTTTTTTTAAAGATTTTATTTATTTATTTGAGACAGAGAGAATGAGAGAGACAGAGAGCACATGAGACGGGGGAGGGTCAGAGGGAGAAGCAGGCTCCCTGCCAAGCAGGGAGCCCGATGCGGGACTCGATCCAGGGACTCCAGGATCATGACCTGAGCTGAAGGCAGTTGCTTAACCAACTGAGCCACCCAGGCGCCCCATGGTTAAAGATTTCTTAAACAGACACCAAAGAAATATAAAAAAGTGATAAATTTGACTATATTAAAATTAGCACTTTTGTTCATCAAATGACAGTAAAAAAAAAAAATGAAAGTTATAAACTGGAACAGATAAACAGAGCAAGAGCCTACAGGAGACTGGTAGCAGGAACAACTCCAAATCATTAAGTAAAGCATAATAATACATACATGGCAAGAGATACGAAGAGGCATTTCATAGAAGAAGAAACTCATGTAGCCAATAACATGAATATTATATGAATAATGTGAATATTTAGGGAGAGAGTGTCCAGAAAGAAGGAACTGCAGATGCAAAGATTTCTAGGAATATCAAGGAACCCAGTGTAGTGGGAGTAAAGTGAGCCAGGAAAAAAATGATGAGGAGATGAGGTCAAAGAGGTGACGAGGGGGCCAGGTTGCAGACGTTGGAGACAATTCTAAAGACATCAGCTTTTACTGTGAGTAAGTCCCATGGAGGCTTTTGAGAAGAGGAGTGACATCATCTGACTCATTTTTTAACAGGATCCCTTTTGCTGCTTTTTGAGAATTGGTGGGAGGAAGGCAAGGGAAAAAGCGAGAAAATCATTTGGGAAGATTCTGCAATAGCCCACATAGCCTACAGCCGCCTCTACGTCCACTGTGCACAGGTACCACAGCTTGTATCGCTAACAGTTATGGGATGTAGCAATTAGGACCATGGCCTCTAGTGCATCTCTTTGACACTCATCAGAATCAATTCCATGTATGTCTTTATTCTCCACATCACTCTTCTCTGAGTTAAGGGTACCTTACTTTGAGGGGAGTTTCTAGGTAGGAACTTTGGGAGGTAGGTCTCATGATGTAGCAAACCCCCAGAATATAGGGTGGGAAAAATATGCCAGGAAGCCAGAAAGCATGGCAAATGCCCACTACAGTCCATCCCTTGTTGCCCAGCATCAGCATGTACTCTCCTTCTCAACAAAACAAACAAACAAGCAAACAAACAAAAATGCTGCCTCAAATAATGCAACTGTAACTTGTACAAGTCAAAATATGCTGTCTCCAAAAGAGTGAATCCAAGGTAACATTACTGAATGCATCTAACTTCATATTTAGAATTTCTAGGTGATGTTCATTCATTTTCTGGTTCTGTCACAATCCCTTCTTGATGTCCTATATCTTGTGAAATTGGTAAAGACATCTATGAACAGTATGCCCCTTATAAAATAACAGAGGGATGGGTGACAGGGAATAAAAAAATTTCTAATATATTATGAATCTATAGAAGACAAAGTAAGAAAGAAAATATAGGTAGCCAACAACCTTTTAAAAGCTCCACCTGGGGCACCTGGGTGGCTCAGTCTGTTGGACTGCTGATTCTTGGTTTCGGCTCAGGTTGTGTTCTTGGCGTCCTGGGATCGAGCCCTCAGCTCGGGCTCTGCACTCAGCGGGGAGTCTACTTGAGATTCTTTCTCCCTCTCTGCCTCTGCCCACCCCTCTCAAATAAATAAGTAAAATCTTTAAAAAAATAAAAATAAATAAAGCTTCACCTGGAAAATCTGTTACCTGCCTTTTGAGTAGCAGGAACCTTATTTCCTTGTGTAAATCAGAATTAATCATTAAATACAGAATGCTTTTTATATCACTTTTCATATCATTCAGTGATTTGAGGAATACAAAAATGGCTATGTGACACTCTCAATTTCTAATTCAGTGGAATAAATTTGGTGGCATAGTTTCTCCCTGAACATTAAGACCTCCAAACCAGCAAAGCCCAGAGATGGTAATTTTTTAAATAGGAGGGAAAAAATATTTTGATAGGAGATCATTATGTGCAGTACTAATAGGTGCTATCCCAGTCTCCATTTTGGTACCCAGACCCTAAAAAACTACCATATATTGGTTCTGATGAGACCATGTACTAGATGTGAGGACAATACCCAGCTTTACAAGGTATGGTCTTCCAGATGGTACTCTCGTTTAGTTTTTAACAATTT